ATGGAATCAAAGGGCATTTAAATTAAGTGTTGTCTACCATTTTGACAGTGATTTCTGGGAAGGGTCTGGAAAGTGATACATAGACAAAATGTCACATAACAGCCAGCAGTTTATGTAACTGTGAAAATAAAGACGAATCTGAAATATGCTCAGAACCTTGCTATTCTGAACCTTGCTATTCGTAAACCTGAAGCTTATGTAAAAAACTGGATTTGCGTATCCTAGCCAGCATGGTTGCCTTAAAATAGGTAAATGTACTGTACCTAAATAGATTTTTTAAGCTTTAAAACAGGCCTAAATATGTTCTGCAATTATTCTGTGCTCAAGGGTAATTTTGGTCAGTTTTCTTCAGTATTAAGTAAATAGTAAGTTCCACTTGTGTTACCACCAGTAGAAACGGTTTACTTTTTATTTTGTATACTTTTTCTAAACAATGAGATCTCCCATTAGTGTGGGCCTTGACAGTCAAGGAGCAGTATCAGAAAATGTCTAGCACTCATCGAGCTGTAGGTAACAGCTGGTTTTCTTTATCATATAAGAATCAACATGTAGTCCAACAAATAAAGAAAATAAACCCGGTGGTTAAAATTTCTGCCGCTGTCTCCTTCAGTCTTAAAAAAGATCACAAGTAGCAATCATTCTGTCTTTAGCTTTATTGTGTCTGGTCTATTCCTTTCCCCCAGTGTCAATGTAGATCTACAGTATAGCATTCTTATCTCGGTACATCACTGAACAAAGCATGCAAGTGTCCTGCAAGCTGGAGGCTTTTCATTTTCTTACCATCCAGCAATGGAGCTTGAAGTCACAATGAGTGATGGATTTTATCATCGTAAACATCTATTTGTGTTTGTAAAAGGTAACATTTCAGATTAGAGATAAATGTTACTTAGTATTTTTCTGAAATAGCAATTTGAAGTTGCGTGAATAAAGAAAACAATTGACAATTAATAAATCCCTTTAGCACATCATCAAAAACGAAAGCGCTACTAAAACAAAAACTGTTAATACTGTCCAGTAGGTGCACATCGATGATCAAAATTAAGGGAGGGACTGTTTTTATCCAATTAAGTCATAGCTTTATTTTTATCATCAAGTATTGACAGAAATGACAGCACACAATTAACATTTAACGGTAGTAGAACTGAAACATAATGTTTTCCTCCATAAAAATGCACTGTTCATGCTCTGTTTTTGAAATGACTGATTCATCTCTAACACCTTGAACCTTAGGGACTGCTTGCGGCATCTTAGAATTGGTTGAGTCAATTCGTTTCTAAATCAAACAAACAAAGCCCTCTTTGAGGGATTGCCACTGTGGCTCTATTCTGTAGCTGGGGAGCACTGCGACCCCTAACTTTGGGCTGTGGGACTGACTTGTGACCAAGGACTTCAGGGGACAGTTCTTACAGTCACACGCACCTGAAACATACAGTAGGCAAGAACAGACTACTCTGGAAAACTCAAAGCTTTAGACTTTCTCCATTTTATCTCACATTTGCTTTTACTTCTCAGATGCTTTGGCATGATAAGGCACTTGTAGTAAATCAATTTGTATCAAATTGCACTCTGTCATATTGCACTACAAGTTCCATGACACTGTCCATTGCAAGCAAACAGGCTGCTGTCTGGCAAAAAGCTAAACTCCCTTGAGTTATCAGATTACACAGAGCAAAAATAAAGAGGCCTGAGCATACACAGAGTCTTATTATGGGGTGTAGTAATGCTGAAATACAGAGCTATTAAATTCTCACACTAATAGAGTCTAACCTCTTGCTACTGCCAAAGGGGAACCTATCCTCCAACACATTTTCTACCACATACGCTGGACAGCATGGTGTAACCGATACTGAATATTAGCCCCCGGCTATCTGAAATATTGAAATATTGAAAAATTAAATTATCCATTAGTGTAATATTTCAGCCGTCATTAGTTCAATTCAGTTATTGCTAGTTTTTGCATTGACTTGGCATTTTTATACCTGAAATGGCACTATCATAGTTTGAAGTGATTGTGCATCACATACTGTACTTACTGTAGGAAGAACAAGGAAGAACATGTGAAAAGACATCACGATATGCAGAATCTGTAATCAGAGGACATCCTCATACCAGGACATGTTCTATAGCTGCTACACAAACACACTTCTCCTTTAAAAAAAGGAAAGGCCCTGAAGATCTTTAAATTGGCTTTGAGGTAGGAAGTGGGATTACAGCATGCAAGCATTACAGAATCATTAGCATGCTTGAAGCACACTAGATACAGATTTCAGAAGTCTGTCCACCAAAGAAAAGCAATTCAACAGAGAGCTGCGCTTCTTAAAATTTGCATTAAAAATATGGCAAAATTAGCTTTTATTTGAACAATCCTGAGAATAAGAAAAATAAAACAGAAATAAAGTTTGAACAACAGAGTAATTAATCAAGAGACACAGTTGTGCATTAGAGAGTTAATTACATGTCGGATTCCATTAAATAATAAACACAATTAATGCTACTTAATGCAAACTGTGACCCTCATCCTCAGTGTCTGTTCTTTAGGGCTTCGTCTTAAATTGCATACTATACTGAAATATGCAAGATAACATCAAAACCTTGGAAATAAATATAATTTTCTCCCTAGTGCAGCTGGACAACTGCTGCATTTCTGGGTAATAGCAACGCAGGTGAACATGGGATACAGCAGTCAACAGAAGTCAACATGGGATACAGCAGTCAACAGAACAGGCTGCTGAAAAGATAACACAGATACATCTGATCATTTATCGAGGAAACTTGACTATTTTACTGTAAAGTACAAACATTTTTAGTTTAGTTTTATTAGCGTAATTTAAGATTCCAATGACAGCAGAACTATGATGGCTTATAACATGGGCATACAGATTACATCCTGAAAGATGTTTCTGGTTTTCATTCCAACTTGAGTTCTTATTTAACTAAGACATTTTTAAAATATATTTTCAAACATCTTTTGATAATGTATTTGATTCCTGGGCTGTTAGTTATGTCTTGTATTCAAGTTTTGAACCTTTTGAGTCACAAATAATTGGACTCATTAAAGATGTGTTAAAGAGTGGAGCCAGAAGACCATGCAACACTAACTCTAACACTCTACTTGACACCCTGGCTTCTAGCAATTGCAACATTTTGGAGTTGGACCTCATTAACTCTACAGGGACACAGTGGTATAGAAAAGCAAGAAGCAATCATACCACACCTGGGTATGAGACTGAAAAGCAGAGATTGTTACCAGCTGCCAGCTCACAATAAAAATAATAACTGTATTCATCAACGCTTTATCAACCTAAAGTGCTGAAAAACTCATAGAATTACAGTATGTGCATGCTCAAAACTAGTCATGATTTTGAGAATGACTGAAACAACTGGTCACATCAAGAAAAAAGCATGTTGACCATTTTCAACCAGTAATTCCTTGAATGTTTTTGAACAACTGAACCTTTTAATGTTCTCACAAGAGTCTTGTCATCATCTGGTCAATAAAAGGTCTACCAAAAAAATCAAGCCTTATACTGCCTGTTTCTGCCTGTTTCTGCCGGCCAAACACCTATAAATTAAAGCCGTCACTGACGGAAACGTTCAGTTTCCATTTTTCCGAGGGCAGCCGGCAGATGAAGGACATGTGGGAAGAGATCAGGCAAAAAGCTTTTGGTAGAGATATATCCGGTTGCCTCATTTAATGGCATCTGACTTGACTGCATAGCTAATGAAAACCTAGCTGTGCACAAATTACCCTGTCACTCATTGCAATGGAAAAAAACGAAAAATGCTTCTCCTCGCTGACACCTTCACACAGATGAAAGGACAGAGCCTTTAAAACACGACCATGCCTACTCCCAACTTTTTGCGTGGCACTCCACTTCAAGCACCCATGTCTTCAGGGAGATTAGGATCAGATGGTTATCACTCCTAGAGCATACTGTACAGCACTCAAACCAGTTCCCTCTGGAACAGCTCTTTTGGCTTGGAGGATTGGGATGAGGATGTAGACTGAGGCTGCATAGCTTGACTTTGATTTGGTCCTTCTGCACTTGCATGGAGAAACCTCCAGCATGAATCATGAATTGATTATGGCAGAGAGGGTGATTGGAGAAGTTAAGCTTAATATGAGTTACAGGCTGAAAGCAGCATTGAAATAAAAATTCCCCAAATAACCAATTTACTGTATCCATTATTAAACTGCAATGAATATCATAATATTGTAATCATAAACTATTTAAAAAGTGTAATGTAACTTACTGATACACACCCGATTGAGTATAAGAGAGAAAAGTTTCAAGCATGCTCAAACAAGAAGAAAAAGTATTCTAATGTACACGATCGCTCAGAGACGGGTTAATTCTCCATGCCCACACAATCTTACTCCTTTCATTAGAAAAGATTAATCACACCCTGATCTGTTCCGCTCCATTCTCAGAGCTCCCCCTCCTCTGTCAAAAAGGCTGCCTTTGCGTGGTGCTTACACAGGCAGGTCATGAAGATTCAGGATGTACAACATGTTCTTACTCAGCACAGCCTTGTAAAGGAAACTTGAGATCCTTGCTAAGCTGTCAAATAAAGTCGCTTCCTTCTACTCACTCCAGAATGGTTAGATCTTTGGTAAAACTAGAGTAACACAGAGTACCAGAGTTAACACTATTCTTTGCTTCTACTAAACAGAACACTCTCAAAAACTCTTAATAAAAAGTGTGTTAGAGAAAACAGTGTTAAATCACTTCTTGCTCAGATTAAATAGAAACCGTGACCCTCCCTCTGACTGCTAATTACAAACCCAGTATGTTGTGGCAACTTTGAAATGGGTACAGGTGAACGGCTAAGGTGTTTGAAAGGTTTATCTAAGCCTAAATGTTTTTCATGTCTTCCACAGGTTCCATGACATTGTGTGCTTATATGGTTGATTGGTTATAGTTTTAATACTGTACTACAGCATATATACTGTAGGTGCAATCCTACCTCCTCTTTCCCACTGAAAACAGACCACTCACCTACTGGGGTGTCCTCGTAGATCAGGAAGAAATTATCAAAGAAGTAATTCAGGAAATAAGGCAAGCGATTGAAGGCCATGACTGGGGAGAAAACAAAATGGAGAAAAAATTAGTTCTAACTTGGATCCTCACACTATGTCAGTATCTTAATTGCATTATACCTTGTAACGCACTTTGGATCTTTCACAGGATTGTAGACATATTTCCCTTCCTGTGCTCTTCTGTATTCCTGAGACTATGTCTGAGACAGGGTGGATGAGTGATTACATTGACAAACTTCATGAGAGGGACATACAGTATGGTACCATCTACTCACATTAGGTAGGTATGCCCCTTTGGGCCATTAAGGCCCCATGGGGGAATGGGGGGCATGGGCCACCATTTTTCCTCAACCATCTGACACTGGAGATGGAGGTGATGTGGTCAGGCATCACGCTCCGGCCGGCCTATTACCCCAGAAAGATTAACGCCTGGTACTCATTTGGAAAGCAGGCTGGGTGGATCTGGGGGCCGCCTGGAAGGAATTAGAACAAGCTACATCGCTTGCCCCTACCTGGGATCGAACCCAGGACCTTCTAGTCAAGAGCTAGACGCCCTTGCTGTCAGAGTTGCAACGGCTCCCATCTACTCCATAAAAAACTAAATAGAATCTGCTCCATAACTCAGATATCATTTGCAAACAAAAATAATTAAAAAGTAGCAGATTATAAGAACTTTAATATGCCATTCTAACTTTTCTATTTCACTATGGTTTGACACTAGGAAGTGTCCTGCTCTTGACATGTGAAAATGTGAGGAAGATTACAAATAAGACCCTTGTATCACTTCACACATACTGTATAGCCTGTAGTTGCTAGTTGCTAACTGATCAGAGGATCTCATCCAGCAGATTCTTGAAAGTAGCCAGAGTATCAGCTCAAATAATATGGCTGGGTAGCTTGTCCCAGACACCCATGCCATTTTGTCTAGAGCAGAGACTCCTGTTGTCAATTTTAAATGCACATCTTTGTAGCTTCTGCTTTTGTCCTGTGATTCATGTTTCACTGTTATGTCTTAAGTCTATTGGGTTGTCTTTGTCAATGCCTCTATTGATTTTCAAACAGTTGAATAAAGGCCCTTCTAGTCTCTGTTTAAAACTAACAATGGTCGGCTCTTTCAGTTTCTCAGTGTAAGAAACTTCAGACCAAGGAATGTAACTATTTACTGAACTTTGCACAGATTCCAGTGCAGAAATATTTTTTGTAACACGATAACTGAAATTCCACATAAAATTAGAATTTACCTGTTGGTTGTACAATTGTCACATGATATCCCTTGATTGAAATCTATAAATTCTATCATTCTGTTTATCCATTTTAGTGCCTAGAGCAAGAAAATGTAGGTCTAAACATAAACCTCTAGGTTTTCTGCAGAAATAGCTTGTTTAAGTTCCCCCCTCCCCCCATCTTACTTATATTACAGTATATGTTTCTGATTCCTGTGACAGGTGTTTGTCCAGTCTTGAATTTTGTCGTCCTTTTCTATGACATGTTTTAAGCAACAGTTATGGCTTGAGGTGTTTGGGGAATGCCGAAATGCCTTTATTTAAATAGATGAATCTGTACAGTATACAGTATGTATACAAACAGTTTGTACCATAGAGGAGGAAAATGACTAAATTTGTGCATAGAAACATGCGTTTTTTTTTTAAAAAGAAGAAGGACCAGAGATACTTTACAATTACTTTAATTTCTCTTAACACATTTGCTCTAAAATATCTGGTGTGTAGTCACTAAAAAGCCTGTCCTCTTCCAGATGGATAGTCGTTTTCTTGCTTCAGAATAATTCATCTGATGTTCTTAGTTTTTTTTTTTCTCCATGACTTGGCTTCTACTCTTAGCAGATATTGAACACCACTTTGCAAATATTTTTAAAGAATTTTCAATTTGAAGGTAAAGTGCAGCCAACACAATTTAATAAGATCATCTGACAACCTCTTTACCTTCTTTCAAAGCACTGGATTAGCCTTCTCAAATCTGTGGCCACTATATTCTCAGTCCACTATATGCCTTTCTAATGAAGGCTTCTGGAAAGTACTGGAAGGGGTGCTGCAAATTTTCTCTTTATTTTTATACACTTAAGCGCCGAGGAATTCCATTATTAGAAAGAAATTGTTGCAATAATAAGGGTCAGCCTTTGGGAGCTCGGTCGATGTGTGTATAAATGTGTTAATGTGTGTGAAAGAGAGACACAGAGCAAAAGAGAGTGCAGCCTTTATAAACTCAAACAAATTGATCCAAAGCAGCGATGGCATCTTCTTAATAACTTTCCCGGTGGTACAGCTGTACATTTCATTGGAAGTGTCTCCTGTGTCTGTTAGTTTACATGGCAGCACGGACGGAGCTGCCACACAGACAGACAGGTTTATCAGCGTGGCTGCAGGAGCAGGCAGGACTCACCTGGCCTGACAGAGTGGAGAATCAAGGCCGACAGGAGGAGATTCCTGATTGTCCCGCTGGTGTGCCCCTCCATCTCCTCAGCCTGGGCTGCCTTGGAAACACACAGACACACACAGTTATAACCTGCTGGACGTCATTTCATGGGGCATCTTTACTTCCCAGTTCCTGCAGGCAGCAACTACTAGTAAGGAAGTTAACTACTGGATATAATGTACTGACCAAGACACCTGGCAATATTGCTGATAGAGTCCAAGAGCTATTGATATGTATGTTATAGTCAGCATTACTAAGAACTATTATCTCTGGTTGAGTCTCTTATGGCAGAATGCTTAAATTGTGAATCTCCTTATATCATAGATAAAAATAATCTTGAACCACAATGAAATTGCTGGCAAACTGACAAATGTAGACTACAAATATTGCTGGCCATTGTTACCAGCTATTGATGGTAAGCACTGTAGGCAATAATTACCAAGTGTAAAACCACCCTTAGGGGCATGAACAAAAACACACGCAGCATGAGTCTCCGAGAGATGTGCTTCATGTCTTTGGGCCCAGTTAATAGGTGTCTCCGGATGCTCTGCTACTGTATGTGAGATTCATGCCCAGGTTCAATCAAGGACCCACGCTGTTTGCACAATATACATACTAACACAGCCAAGATGAACAGATTAGCCTTTAAAACTGCACCATCACTGCACACAGGCTGGTTTGACTATGGTCCTACAGTATGAGTGTACAGGACTAGAAATAAGTCTTATTTTGAGCAAATACTGTATGCTCCAATGTGGAGTCAAAATAATATTCACGTCACCCACAAGTAGGACACCATAGGTTGTATTAGTTCAGAACACTTGCAGTACTGCAACCTAAGTGAAATCCAAGCTACACATCAGACTGGTTTCGAAGAGTACTGTTAAAACAGAACAAGAGCTCCAGTATTTGCCTTTTCTTTCAGCTTCACACTTGACAATCTCCAAAGAGTCTTCTTCCTTATCTGAAACACCATGAACAAAGAGCATAAAAAATCTTGTGATTAATTCAGTGACACTTTGAAAAATGTTTTGTTTTGATCCTCAAAAGTCCTTTTCAAATGACATGAAAGTCCATAACCAATGAATGGATGCACCGGAACATACAAATTAATTTACCCAATGACTATTTGCCGATACAAAAACACATACAAACAAATCTGTTCTAGGCTGAGAAGCAATCTGTACAAACCAGGGTCTTGGACAGGAAACTGAATACTGAAAATGAGAAGAAGCTTTGGATTGGCGTGATGTATGTCAAGACAGCAGTACAGAAAGACAAAGAGGAAGTTGCTTTGCACTTCATTGCTTTCTGAGGTAACAATCTGAGGAGCTCTTTCTGCAGTATTTTATATTACAGAAGTAGAAGTACGATTGCGTGCATTTACAGTTTATCAAACTTAAACATTTTGTGGTGGCATGAGCTAAGAAATTTTGATTTTGATTTTGTGGATGTATTTTACGGGGGATCGGGAAATTTGCGTGCCTTAGAATTTTAACTTGCAAAAACCTTTTAGTGCACAGAGCAGCAGCTTTGATATGAGCATAAAGGGAAATTGTTTGGCCTGCTGATGGTTTTGATGTAAACTTTCTGGTTCTTCTCTGGGGTGGACCGTCTTCTAGAAATAAACTGATTTCTGTCCTACTTCTGATCCACTACACTACAACATTATACAGTACATGCAAGCAGCAGGAGCAGCATCTCCTCCACAAAGACCTGAAGCTTGAGAAAAATGCAGTTTCCTGTTCAGTAACTACAGTACGGTAACTCTTAAATGCCTTCAGTATCAATAGTCCCTTCAAGTAGGGATGGGGGGTCCCATTGATTCTCTTCTGTTGTCTGTATACTGTAGGTTGTTAAGGGTTTAACAGCTAATTTACATCATCTAATTATTACAGTATAATCAAGGCATTGCTCCGTTAATTATCTTGGAGAATTCTCTCAGTGAACAGCTCCTGTTGTAAATTAATTAAGTCAATAGTAAGATGAAAATTAATGATGCAATAAAAACAGATATAAATGAAATTAATGTTTCATTTACTTATTTACTATATGTGTAAGAGAATGGTAGAATGATCAGGTGGCTTAGCCGATCCCCACTGAGGACGGGAGTACATGCCTATATGTGCACTCAGCTTCATTATAATGCCCTGTGTGTTACATACACTGCACCAACTTAATAAACTAATGCCATCTGGGCTTGTTACTCTATCCTCAAACAATATATGTGATCTGTCCCAACAGTTTTTATAGTAAAAGTTCATTATGCTGTTCAAATTAATTTAAGAGGTTGTCTAATTACTGGGGAAACATTGCATATGGTACAAGAAATGGTACAAAACCTGTTTAAAACAGGTAATACATACCCAGTCTCATTAATACATGTCAACATACAGTACCTGGTGTTTTAATGAATTGTTAAAACACCGTCCAGTGTTATCGGGAAAGGTGGGTTTATAATTTAGGATGTTGCCCTCATAAGGGGCTGTACTCCCAGATTTCTGTATTGGAAGCACAGCAACTGGCAACTACTTTCTTTGTCTGCCACACTGTCTACAGCTCCTCTTCACTGTGATAACACTTTATCACAGGATAACACTGGAGAGGAGTGCTTCAATCCCACAAGTGTGTTGTGAGGTAAAATAGGATGCTTTAATACAGCTCAGCTGTGTTCTAGTAGTGTGTAAATCATCTGAATGGCAGATTAGAAGTGCTGTGAATTGGTCCACAGCTCTACTTTGTAGATAACCAAGCAATATTTCAGTTGTATTCCTTTGATGTCAGATGTAGAATAGTGGATGGGGTGAACACTCCAGCTGAGCTGACCTTAACTGCATACACTTACACATTTTGATAGAGCGCTACAGCTTTAACATTTTATAATTTATAACTCCTACTATACCAGCAGCGTCTCCCAGCTGCAAAGTGCTTGCTTTCAATGAATTTCCTCAATCCAAACGGGATTAGATGTGAAAATACCCCTAGGCGATCTTCAGATCGAAAAAAGAAATCTTGGTTCTACTCAGAAATGTGTCCCTATAGTTCAACTTGAGATTTAGTCAGAGCACTTTATTTTAACAGAGATGTTTACATCCCTTTACAGAAACATTTAATTTTAATTGGGTTTCCTGTTTTCTCAGCACTACCAGGGACTAGGCCCCACAGTCCCAGCTGAATGAACTCCGACACTTAGTATTTAAACTACAGTCCAACCATGCTATTGGTTTCGATTTAATACTATTTAACTATTTATCAGGACAACTGATTGGCTAATACAGCATGTTACATTGAATGGGCACAGTTTTATGTAGATGATTACACACATTTTACTGAGCCAGGAAGTAATGATTGGGTGATTAGTTTGACAATAGTAGACAAGTACAAGCTGATGTGGCTGATGAGAGATGTAGTGTACACTGTAAGTAGAAAGACAAAATGTAAATTATTTTGTTATCCAGCTGAAGAAGGCAGAAGGTATGCTGTGTCTTTTATGTGCATGTATTTTCACCCTGGCAGTGCTGTGCAGACTGTACAGTAACTTGCCTGGATTAAGGGTGGGTTAAGGGGGGAGGGGGCATTAGGGCCATGTGTGATCTATCAGCACTGGGTTTTGAGTGTGAGCATCGCTGCAGAAATTACCTCCAGAAATGGAAAAGTCACTGAGGCGGACAGACCCTCACAGACATACCTGGCACAGCACATCTCTCTCCCTCTCTCGCTCAGTATGACTGACCATATCTGCTTTGCCCCCGCACTCTCTTTTGTCAAGTTCCCCATTTTCCCTCCGATCTTTCCCTGTTCCTATTTTTGCTTTTCATGATGAACAAATTGATTTTCTGCTGGTAGTTTGCTGTCCATTTTAAATAATAAGCACTGTTTATTTATTTCAAAGGGCCATTTTCTGATGAGAAAATTGTACAAGATACAATACTTTACAATTATAGATCTTTATCCTTAAGAAAACCCAGACACAGCATCTGAGTGTACCATTATGTTTTCAGTTGACCTTAGTTTAGTACCTCCCTCTGGATAACTAGGAACATTAAAATAATATTACAAGATGGGGTGAGGACATATATAACACTGGGTTTTAAACTGGAAACTAATTCTCAGGGTAAACATACTTTTAATAGATCAAACACCCTCTTTAAAGCACTCTTTGTAATAATTATTGACAAATCTGCAATAAAAATGATCTTGTAAGTAAAGTCTAAATAATAAGCAAGACTACATCAAATTGTACAGGGCATACAATGGATTAAGTAGCAAATGTAGCTAATTTAATTTGTTATATAATATTGTCAACTGCTGTATAATTCTGTGCTCTGTGGGTAACTGCTGTGAAGGGTGCCATAGCAAATAAAAAGATTGATTGAAGCCGGTTCCAGCTGCTAAGACAATTTCTATTTCATGTAATGACTTTCTTTTTTCTAACATTTCAGATTAAGATAATTATTGCAAATCAGTATGGTTCATCTTGGAAATTTTGCTTTAAATAATAGAGGGTGGTCATTCAGTTGGTGCATTGTTAACACAACAAATTAATCATTTGAAGGACTATGGAGCTTGGACGCCTTTTCCTGTGGAAATTCAACTGAATTTTGTGCAATATTTTCAAGGCCTAGGTGCAGGGTTTACAATAAACCAAAATAAGCTATTTGAAAGGGCTCATGAATAGTAATCCAACTTGTTCTATTCCTCCAGACATCAGCACAGAGCTGTTACAGGGACAGAGTTTAAGGAAACAAGCATTTGAGTGTGATGAGTATATCTTGCATGAGAGAGACACACGGAGATTGTAATTACCAGAAGCGCGTTAGAAACATGGCAAACAGCAGGTCTAGAAAAAAAAATATAACACTGTCAGGTTTTGTCGTGCTTACTTTTGTAGGTTCTATTTTTATCCAAGGCAGGAAAAACCTAATTTCCTTTGCGCCATGGACAAGCAACTTTGTCAGGGTCCATCAAACGTAGGCTTGTATACTTTTTACTTTAAAAAATAAAGGTATTGAATTTTGTGGCTGCTGGGTGCTGCTGTCAGCAGGGCTCAGCTGAGTG